ATCAACGAGGTTGAGAACCAGATCTTGACGCGCGACAGCAAGGGCATCAGCCAGGAGCAGCTCAACGAGTACCGCGCCTCGTTCAACCACTTCGACAAGACGCGCACGGGCCGCCTCAACTGGGACGAGTTTAAGAGCTGCCTCATCTCTGTGGGCTACAGCCTGGGCAAGGACCGCCAGGGCGACCTGGACTTCCAGCGCATCCTGGCTGTGGTGGACCCCAACAACACACACCAGGTGCCGTTTGACGCCTTCCTCGACTTCATGACGAGAGAGTCGACAGACATGGACACCGCCGAACAGGTGAGAGGTGGAGGGAGGGAGGGAGGGAGGGAGGGAGGGAGGGAGGGAGGGAGGGAGGGAGGGAGGGAGGGAGGGAGGGAGTTCTAGAGAGCGGCGGGAAAGGAGATAACCTAGATGGAAGTGGAGTCTGAGCGATAGGTACCAGCAGCCACGAACGATGAGTTACCTACAGCGATTGGATAAATGATTGTGTTACATGTTGAAGGAAGATGAACGAAGACGTGTATAAATTTCCTATTTTATATCAGCTTTTATTTGAAGAGCTAGGATCAAGTTGTTCCGCTCTGCTTAGCTGCACACATTGTCTTACCCACTCCCTTCCCCATTTGAGGAGGTGGACTGACTGAGACAGGGGCGGATCCAGGAAAACTCCAAGGGGAGGGTCATGAATCGAAGTGGTGCCCCTACCTATACCCAAAATTAAAAACTCAACGGATTTCGTCCACTTCATTTTGGTGGTGCCCCCATTTTCAGTTTTTTTTTTCTTTTTATTTTTTTATTTTTAGTCAGTATCTTAACTCTTAGCCACAACCACATTTACCAGTTGTAAGCAAGTATATATGAATGTGCTATGTGTATATATGTTGTGGACGCTGAGTAGTGAGTACTTACCAGGAACGTTATCAGGTAAGCAAATCGTTGTCAGTCCGACGAACTTGACCCTGGGGCCTGGCGTCTAAAGGGTCTGTCCTTGACACTTCAGGCTTGTCAGGGGCACCAAAGTCCTTCCAGGGACACCACAAACCTGTCAGGGGCACCTACGGCCTTGTAGGGGCGCCACAGGCCCGCCAGGGGCACCACAGGCCTGCCAGGAAGCAGGGGCACCACAGGTCTAGCAAGTATACACGACAGGCCTGTCAGGGGCACAACGGGCCTGTTAGGCCCATGAGCACCCCTAGGGGCAGGGGCACCACAGTCCTTCCAGGGGCACCGCAATCCTGTGAGGGGCACCAACGGCCTAGCAGGGGCACCAGTCAACACAGGCCTGCCAGGGGCACCACAGACCTGCCAGGGGCACCAGAGGCCTGCCAGGAGCACCACCGACCTCGCACGGGTAACTTGGGCCTGTCAGGGCCCAGGGGCACCACGGGCCTGTCGAGAGGCACTTCAGGCTTTTCAGGGGCACCATAGTCCTCTCCGGGCGCAGGGGTAGCAGGGCACCAGAGGCCTGCCAGGGGCACTACAGGCCTAGCAAGGGCACCACTGGTCTATCAGGGGCACCACGAGCCTGTCATAGCCAGGCATCTCAGGCTTGTCAAGGCCCAGGGGCACCACAGGTCTGTGAGGGGCACCAGCGACCTAGCAGGGGCACCAGTCAACACAGGTCTGCCAGGGGCGCCACAGACCTGCCAGGGGCACCACACACCTTCCAGGGGCACCAGAGGTCTGTCAGGGGCACCACCGGCCTCGCAGAGGCACCTTGGGCCTGTCAGGGGCACCACGGGCCTGCCGAGGGGCACTTCAGACTTTTCAGGGGCACCAGTCCTCTCCGGGCGCAGGGGTACCAGCGGCCTAGCAAGGGCACCAAAGGCCTGCCAGGGGCACCAGCGGCCTAGCAAGGGCACCAGAGGCCTGCCAGGGGCACCACAGGCCTAACAAGGGCACCACGGGCCTGTCAGGGGCACCTCAGGCTTGTCAGGGCCCAGGGACACCACAGTCCTTCCAAGGGCACCGCAAGCCTGTCAGGGGCACCAGAGGCCTGCCAGGGGCACCACAGGCCTAGCAAGGGCACCACTGGCCTGTCAGGGGCACCTCAGGCTTGTCAGGGCCCAGGGGCACCACAGTCCTTCCAGGGGCATTACAAGCCTGTCAGGGGCGCCAGAGGCCTAGCAAGGGCACCACAGGCCTGCCATGGACACCACAGGCCTGCCAGGGGCACCACCGGCCTTGCAGGGGCGCCTCAGGCCTGTCAGGGGCACCACGTGCCTGCCGGGGACACTTCAGGCTTGTCAGGGGCGTTACAGTCCTGTCAGGGCCCAGGGGCACCAGGCCCGTGGTGTCCCTGCTAGGCCGGTGGTGCCCCTGGCGGTCCTGTGGTGCCCCTGTCAGGACTGTGATACCCCTGATAGGCCGGTGGTGCCCCTGGCAGGTCTTTGGGCCCCCGGGCCTCAAGGGGGCCATGACCCATGTGACCCCCCCCCTTGGATCCGCCACTGCGTCGGCTAATTTTCGAGTCTTATGTTTTGTTCCTCGCCACAGCCGGACTGGCCATATGCGTCCCCTCCCCCCCCCCCCCGTATCGGACCGCACTGACCCCTCGCCGCCCGCCCGCAGGTGATAGACTCGTTCCGCATCCTGGCCGCCGACAAGCCGTACATCCTGCCGGAGGAGCTGCGCCGTGAGCTACCGCCCGACCAGGCCGAGTACTGCATCCAGAGGATGGCGCCCTACGCGGGACCCAACGCGGCGCCCGGCGCCCTCGACTACCTGTCCTTCTCGACGGCGCTCTACGGCGAGTCGGACCTGTAGGCGGCCGCGGCGCCCGCGGAGACGACCCACCCACACACAGAGGCCAAGGAGGCCAGTGCCAGTGAGCGCGCGCGCCGCGCGGGGGGCGCGCGTCCGTCGGCTGGCCGCAGCGCGATGGGGTAAGACCGGCCACCGCCGCCGCCGACACCGGCGGCCGGCGAGCGGGCCCGCTCGACGCCGAAAACACCCGGCGAGCAGCTGTGTCTTGCCTTAGTTCATCGTATCAATACGTCTAGTCTTTGTTGATTGGTCAATGTGTACATTGGATGTTTTGTAAATAACTCGAGATAATCCGGGCCCGGTGTGTCGGCGGCACGCCGCGGTCGGCCGCCCGGCGGCCGCGCCGCGCCGCGAGGGGCTGCCGGCGGCGCAGTGCCGTCCGCTCGGCCGGCAGGGGCCGCCCGGAGGGGCCCAGTCGCGCGCGCGCGCGCCCGGCCGGCCGGCGCCCGCCGCCGCCGCCGACGCCCGCGCCCTCCGCCTCCACCCGAGTTGTGTTGCCTCCTCCAGTCTTCTACACCTGCCGGCGGCCCAGCGGGCCGGGCGCCCCGGCCCCGGCGGCGCCCCCGGCCGGGCGTCCCGGACACCGGGCGGCGCCGCCGCCGGCCGGCCCGGCTGCGCCCCAGATTCGGCCTCGGCGGCCGCTGCCAGCCCGTGCTATGCTCGGTGGATCGGTGCATGCACGCGCGAGAGAGGGATAGAAAGACAAAGTGTGTGACTGAGAGACTTGTGAGCCGCGGCTGCCGGTGGCCAATACATTTTTATCGAGTCTGGAATCGTGTGTTGAGCTGTATCCGCGAAATGCGAAATGAGAGGACACGTCTTCTAGCTAGCACACCACGACGGAGATGTTTCGCATTCCCCACGAGCCAGACAATTGCAAATTTCTGACGGTCAGAAAACACTCCAGTTCAAAGTTGAAAATATATATTTTATCTGCCATACAGTCAACACCACGTGGAAAACGAATCGGTACCGCCCATACTATCACTCTGTTCAGTCCCCGTGGTGCCTATTTTTGATGCGGTCAGTTTCTTCGCATGTTCTCTTTTACCGTGATTCGCGCGATTTACATTCGGTTTGGTGGACATAAAGGAAGACGCAATGTCCATTACACCGTCCGTCCGCAGTGGGTCTGCCGGGCTGAGCTGGGGTGGGCTCGAGCGACCTGGGGCGGCTCGAACCGGGCTCTCACCACCAGCCCGCTAGTGAGTCTGTCACTCTCCCAGCCGAGCCGCTGGGACGGACCGGCCTGTCTGAAAACGACAGATGCTGCTGACCGGACTCAGGTAGAAGGTACAGCCCACCGCTAAAGTAATGTAGGGTTTTACCAATCTCAACAGTTGGCTTTGACTGGCGATTGTTTAATGCGGAGTGATCGTAAAGAAGATGTCAGTAGCTAAAGTTGTAGCTGCAAGGGTGACGATACATATAAGCTACATTCAAAGTTTCATTGTATTCTGGCTAATCGTTCCTAAGCTTCAGAAGCAGAACATACCCATGACTGAAACCCCACATTACTTCTGCTGTGGACTGTACTTGGTCTGAATTACGTTACGAAACGTAAAATTATTTTCTTTAGCTGGAGCACCACGGGGCCTGAAAATGGGGTTATGTATCACAATAATCAAAGCTCAAATGTCTGCTGACAAGCGCTGCGTATTACGTTTTCCACACAGGCAAACATTGCGATTTCTGCGCCCTTTGAGACACAAACACTGCTAGTACATATCGTAGCGGCCACAGACCAGCGTCGTTATCATTGCAATATCCACAAACACTGCTAATGCCGCGAGATACGGAGACGAGCACAGGGAGCATTGCGCCCCTTACAGACATGCACTGCCGAGAGCAAGTCTGCAATCGCAGCACACAAGCTGACAGCGAACATAGCGATTTTTCGCAAACACTGCGATTGTTGTTACGTTCATGAACAGTGCGAGAGCAAGCCTTCTGTGGGCAAACACAATGCGAGTAGCGCCATCTGTAGAAGTTCGCTACATCCACAAACACTGCACATAGAGTCAAACATTGCGGTTGCCAGAGTCGCCCCACGAACATCGTGATACTCTGCAGCGGACGACTGGACTCGACACACGCCAACCATTGGCACGTGAATACTGGACATTAGACACACACTGAGCAGCACGAGCGCACGAGTGAACTCACGTCAGGCTGGCCCGGCACCGAGCCTGCGGTCACCTGACCGACAGGAGGCTGACCCAGAGGTCATCTGACCGACAGGACGCTGACCCAGAGGTCACCTGACCGATGGGACTCCGACCCAGAGGTCGCCCGACCTTCGGTATTAGGCGAGATGACCTCAGGGTCATAGAAGACTCCACACATGGCAGGGGCATATCAGTAGTAGCTGCCGCTGAGAGACTCGGCGAAAGAGTTTGGTGGTCATTCCGAAACTCTTTTACATAAGTGCGTTACAGAAGTGCTTGAAAGAACAGAAGGCAACGATTAAGCCGATAGATACGAGTAGTCAATAGCATTATAGGTCATTCCATGGTAACACGGTAAGTTCGATTAAATAGAACATACGAGGATTAAAATGAGAAGTGCCATTGAGCCATAAGGACTTCGGTAAGTACGAGCTAAATAGCATGGTAATGCGATATGGCCTTGAAGTTGTAGCACTCATAACGTCTGTCCGTCATTGCTTGAATGCCTAGTCTACATCGCTACCTTAAAGATAATGAGAAAAGAAACAGCCACTCACAATGAAATGAAAATTACAACACATTTATGAAGATGAGCACCACCAATGTGGTTATTTATCACAATGCACGTCTGCGTTACGCTATTGATAATCCCTTTGGAGCTCGGCTACATTATACGGTTGAGCCATCACTTCAGCTATCATTGGGCCTTCTGCCCAGTCCATCGATTAATTAATGCAGCACCGTCTCAGCGATCTAACCGCCACAATTCAGTCAGGTCAAACAGACTGGCTTGTTCAAAGTCCGATTCATGGCTTGCAATGGGAAGAACAAGTAGGTACGGCTATCTTCTCTGTGTCTAATCTTCGACAACAATTGAAAAGGTTGAAAAAGGAATGGCGTAACGAGGCGACCACTACACCCTGCTCCCGTTGTGCGGAGTGACGCCGGGCGGTGGGGTCCGGCGAGACTCACAGCGCAGCAGCTGCCGGTACGCCTGTCGGTACTCCAAGCTCATAACCACGTAGATAATTGGATTAGTACAGGTCGTCAGGTATATCAACGCATAACCCAGGACGTTGATAAATGGCGCGTCCGTTTCCTTTCCAAATACTTTGACTATGGTAATGGGCAGATAGCAGAGGACAAAACAGAGAAAAATGACTAGGATCATTTTCAGAAGGCGACGGTCTTTGGCGGACATGTTGCCGGCCCGTCTCGGCGAGGCGCGATCCCTCACAGCAGCCATTAGTGAGACGACCAGCTGACTGCCGTGGCTCTGTATCCGCGCCCGGTTGGCCTCAGGGCTGACCGTCTGTCCTTCTGCAGGCGGCGACCCGGCCCTCACGTAGGCCACCTGCACCTCGGCGCCGCCGCCGTTCACATCAGTCACCCGCACCTCGGACCCACTGATGACGTCAGTGGCTCCGTTGGTGACGCCGTTGGTGGTGCGCACGGCCAGCTCTGCGCTGACCCTACGGGCCGGTGTGGCCACCTCTACCGCCGTGGCCGTGCTGACAGGCTGGCGCGCGCTGCTCGGGTCGGCGGCGGGCGCGGCGCCCCTGCCGGCGCCCCGGCCGGCGCCCCGCGCGGCGCGGCCCTGACGAGCCACACGCTCCGTCCGGCGTACGATCATGAAGATGCGCACGTAGCAGATACAGATGGAACTGGCTGGCAGCAGGAACGCGAACACGAACAGAAACTCCTTGGGCGACGAGCCGTCGGCGTTCGGGAGGATGGTGCAGCTGCCGATGGCCGGGTCCAGGCCGAAGTGGCCCCACTTGCCGGACAGGGTGGGCACCAGGAATATGAAGACGCTGATCCAGATGGCAGCCAGCATCAGGGCCAGAGCTCTGGGCCGGTACAGCCTGTCGGCAGGGGGACGGGAACGGACGTCAGACGTCAGCACATCAGTCGTAGTGGCCTGAAGCGTTGGTGTGTTGAAATGGAAACGCTGGCAGGGGTACACATAACACAATTGCCATAACGACGCAACCGTTTGAACCCATGGAGAAGATAAGTTTGATCCCACCATCAATCGTAACTGAACATAGTGATAAATTAATTTGATTAACAAGACACTACAGCTCTATCGGTATCATTATACCTACCTGTCAATATACAGGTAGGTATAATGAACACTTATCCTTCTATATGTAGACAAGTGTTTATTGTTATCGCATCGTAGAATTAGTTATTCATTTGTTCCACTAGAAGACAATTAAAACAAATAAGTAACTATTTATAGAAATTAGAAGAGTTAGACATTTTGTTTTATCTCACAGACAATGGCAATACAATGGCGATGTAAGTAGCTAAATAAAATTAGACGTTTTGGTCAACAAAGTGCCTTCGTCAGTGGAAAATAAAAGATAGGCTTTACACCGACAAAACATAGATAACAACCGGTCTGTTTTATTTTCCACTGACGAAGGCACTATGTTGACCTTAACGTCTGATGCCATTGTATTGTCATTGTCTGTGAGAAAATCTATAGAAATATTTTATCGGTACCTACGCATGCCTAAGTATGCTAGGTGCCTTACAGGGATAGATATATTCTCGCTAGGATGAAGTTATTGGACATTTTCAAACTCCCTCCATCATCGAGCTGCTCTTCAGGTTTATTGAAAACGGCGCAGATTCAAGAATAATATCCAGAGAATATGATTATCTTTTCTACAAAGTCAGTCGATGTGACCTGCCTGCCTAATGCCACATCAATCGTCCGTAAACGTATAAGCTTCATAGATAGACGACATGCTTGGCCCTTGGGACCAATCGTGGTGCACGATTATGCTTTATCATTTTATGTTTATCCTCAATCGCTTGCATCCATTGCAAGAATGATTTTCAATTAAAGAATTTGTGCGTGTCAAGTCTGGGTCTCTTTGGGGAGGGGGGGATAGCACTTATGCATATGCAGCGTGGGGTATCATCCCCTCTTCCTCAGTCGAATCCAAATACCGTCGCGAGCTCAAAGTTCAGGGCCAGTGTGTGCTCCACGAATGGCGACCGTCTGATCAGGGCCGTCTGTTGGCGACCGTGTCACGTCCCGCGAGCTGTAATCCAGGCAGAGCTGCCCTGACCACCGGTTTTTAATTTGGTCAACCTTCGTGACTCAGTGGATCCCTAGTGGCCATCTGGCCGACATCTCCTAATCCCCTCGGCTAGTACGTGTTAGATAAATGCGACTGTACGCTCATCGAGTGGAGCTAAATTAAATAGATGTAGCGTCTTTTATTTGTTGAAATAGTAAAACCTAGGTACTGGTACATATGTATATTGCTGTTACCGTTGCGTAATACTAGTTTTCCTCTGTATTAGTTTTAATATTTCGTTCATGTTACAAAATGTAAGGACTATAACCTAATTTTGTACTGATCAAAGCCTCGGGTAGACCTAGAAATAAACAAACAGGAGCCACTATTCGACAAGATATCAAAGTGCGTTGATTGTTGTCAAATCGGCATCATCCACCGCCACGAAGTCTTAAAGGAAATAGTTCACTTTCCTGAAATTAGTTTTTGGCTATGGATTTATGTTTTTTATGCTCAAAAAGATCAGAAAATAAAACAAAATGTTTTTGTAAGAAGGATTATTTTCTATATTTTAGTATAAGAAGAACTATATTCTTTAAAAAATAATGTTTGACGCGGAATCTTATTACGCGTTGACCAATCATATTGCGTAGGACAAACCCATCGGCTGTAAGCAGCATGCTGATTGGCTGAAGATGACGTGACTGCATTCCTCAGCAAGGCACGCATTCCTCTACAAGGCACTCTTTTCGGAACGAAAAATGGAATATCTTCGTCTAGGGTGATCGTTGGGCCGTAAAAGCTTCTGATTTGTGCTAGTCTCGGGGCAAGCAACAAAACTGCTATTCCAGTTCCAAACCCCATGTTAAAAGTGAACTATTTCCTTTAATACGAAATTAACTTCTTCTAAGCGCAGATTTTTGCCGCCAGCGAGCTTTAAGCCTGAAACAGACTCTTTCCGCAGTTAGGAAATCGCATGCGAGAGCCTATTCAAATACATGGAAGCACGCTCGCATCAATCGCACGCACCTCCCGCAAGCGATTGATGCGAGAAGAATTACAATGTATTTGAAGGCTCTCGCATGCGATTTCCTGAACGCGGGAAGAGTCTGTTTCAGCCTTTACGGAGTTGTGCGCTTCGGCCCGGAGTGTGTCGTGCTCTCCGCGCTGTTGCCTTTGTAACTTTCATTTCTAGCTCCTCTAGTTTCTCTTGTTTTCCAAGTAACGCACAAGGTGTTGGAGCAGCGCGTGCTACAGTCGCGCAAACTCTCGACTTCTTTCGGCGCAATTAAACCTCGAGAAGCGTGTGAGACTAGAATGTGCTTCCAAGCGTACTGTCAACGTCATCTTCAGTAGGTTGCCGCCCGCACGGGTCTAAAAGTAGGTGGCTCGACTTTGCTAAAAACTAGGATGATACATAGTAGTGATCCGCCAATAGCAGTGCGCCAATTGCATCCAGTTTCTGTTCGTTTGGGCTTGATCTCAGACCGATGATGGGTCATTATTGCCTGCAATTCGTCTAACAGCACCGCAATGTCAGCGAGCATTCCCAGAAGAGAGTCTTGTTTAATATGGCAACGATGCTCTCGTTAGACGTAGGTGCACATCTCCAAACGATGGAGAATCCTAATGAACCTGTCTGCCTATCTTGCGAGCTTTCACGTGGAATTAATAAAGCATCAGCCTCGGCTGTATAAGCCGCGTCCCGCTGGAGAGCCAAAATATCCCTGCATAACATATAACTGCATTTTTACTAAGGCAAAAAATTATGTACCTACACAATAGACAAATACAAAGCATCTTTGAAATTACTTGGATGGATTATGATGTACCTACCCTACCTACAAAGAAATCAAAACATGACACAAATCATGCTATCGGTCGTTGTAGAGTATAGGCACAGAATGATTAGGTATATATGCACAAATATGACTTTGCACTTCTCAAGTTTACTGTCTACCGTCTGGTGTCTGCCTATTGCATTTAGCCCGCGACCTGGTGGGGGGGGGGCTATTTTTTGCCCCCCCCCCTCCAGACTTTTCTATATATCTCCAGAACCGCTGCGCCGATCGTCACCAAACTTTCAGTACTCTCCCGGACGTCATTTTACACATTGTGACCAAAATTTTTTCCAAAGGCTATGATAGGTTGGCCGGAAATGACGTCAGAGTGACGTCATGTTCTGCCGTTTTCGACCCAAAAAAGGGTTTCGCGGGAAGAGCTGTCAGGCCTATAGCTTTGCAAATACAGAAAAATTATTAAGACATAAAAGCTGTAGATTGGACAGGGCTACAAAACTGCTATCTTGGATTTTTGATTTTTTTTATTTTGACCCCCAAAAATCAAAAAATAGAATTTTTGGATATAATAATCGAAAAATCCAAAAACTTTTTTGAATTTCGCAAAAACCGGAATATATGTGATAGTCCTTACCACCTTCCATCCACATACCAAATTTGAGATTGATACCTCTTTTTTTGGCGAAGTTATAGCGAAAAAAACTGTTCAAAATTGATGACGTCAAATTTTCAAACTCAATTTTTAGCAATTCTAGACCCCGTAGCGCAAAACAAAGACCACCATTAGACTCCCCGTGACAAGCTGCATCGAATCAATGCCCATTTTATGCAAAACTATCAACTTTAAAATTTGACTTTTTTTGGCCTGACCTTGACCTGACCTTGACCTGAACTTCACCAGAAAGTGACCTAAGCCGTACCTGATAGTCTTATAACCAACACCATTGAGTTGGAAATGAAAAATTGGCCATAAAACATGTATCACACAACCTTAGTAAAGTTGGGCTCATGTGACCTGACCTGTGACCCTTGGTGACCTGACCTGTGACCTGACCTGGTATTGCCAGTGACCTCTAATAGCAACATATCGACTAGGCAACTGACGCCCTACCGCTGATTCTCGACAAAATGCGTTTTCCTCGGTGTTATAGCGCATTCCCTAGCCCTCGCACGACCAGGCCATTTCTCATAACACGAACGACCAGGGGGGGGGGGGTTGTTACGACCCCCCCCCCCTGGCGTTTCGAAACGGAAGGTCGTAGAGCTTAGCGGAAAAAACCAAAGGATTGCTCTCAACGAGATCTCGCGATTGGTGGTATATTTTTTGGTCCTAGGTCAACATTTGACCTACTTTTGACCGGTCAAAGGTCAAATTTTCGGAAAAATAGACTTTTTTCAACTTTCGGCGGCGATTGCGGCAAAACGAAGGGAGATATCAACTTGAAACCTTCACTATCGTGTTCCTTGATCAATTCTCTATCGTTTGGTATGTATTTCGTTTCCCTAGCTCTAAAAATGGCGCGTTGGGAGCGCCGGAAGTCGGCAAGGTCATAGTCGGCGGCAGAAATTCGAAAAATCAAAATTTAAATTTTTGAAATCTGATTGTATTTTTGGATTTGGGAGGTCCATTTGCTCCCTATAGAAGCTAATATTGCTGCATATTCCCATTGAGGTGACAAGAATTAGCAAAATAGTGGTTCGGGCGTTTTTAAAAAATAGTACCGGACGCTGTTCCTCTTGTAACGTCATAACTCCGTGACCTGACCTGACCCGGTCAATTTTCTTGCACCACACGATAGCCAATGCTTGCCCCAACATGCATGGGAAGTTTCATCATGATCCATCAAACAATGTGGGTATCACCGGCAGAAACCCTAGGGATTCGGCGCACACGTTTGGTAACTGTCGGACGGAGGCTGTACCTCTTATGACGTCATAACTCCGTGACCTGACATGACCCGATCAATTTTTTTTTTGCAAAAGATGCGCAAAGGTTGCCCCAGAGGGTATTGAAAATTTCAGCCCGCTACGACAAGCCGTTTAGCGTGCACTTCGAAAAAACCTCAGGGGGGGGGGGGGTTGATACAACCCCCCCCCCCTAGGCGTTCTAGGGCTAGAAGACCCGTGAACGGTGAAACATTTCATCTTTGACCTGACCTGTGACGTCATCGGTGACCCCGAGGTCAATGAAATTTGGTTTCCTTCGGCAAATTTGACAGGCCTTTCGAGCGCCGGTTGAATTTTGCGGATCCGTCCAGTAGTTTCGGAGATACGAGGGGGGGGGGCAAAAAATAGCCCCCCCCCCCACCAGGTCGCGTTATAAACAGACCCCACCAGGGCGCGGGTTAGGAGCGTTTGTTTAACCGACCGATGATTTGTCGTCAACTTGGTCCGTACGGGATTCTCACTTCATTCTCTCTTATCCGAGTGACCCAGAGCTTTTTTTTAACAATCCTCGTCAAGCTCGCAAAGGCCAGACGATAGCTACCCTGCACTCTGCGATTCAGTATTCAGATCGTGTTGCCGTGCTGCCGTCGTTCAGTCGTTTCCAGTTGCCTTCTGAAGACGGCTTGGCTGCATCGCCTTGAAATGCCAGGCGACCCACTCATCATCTGTTGTATAGTATCGCTTGCAAAAGTCACATCGACACGGAACAGATGCGATGCCTTCAATTTTTGCACTTGGTGATCGTCACTGGTATCAGCTACCTAAACAGCGATCCTACATCACCTGATTAAATATTAGTTACTGCATAACTAGTTCCTAGAGCTGGCTGCCACTCATGCTTATTTTATTAGTGCTTGAAGTCCCTCTCCAATCCGTCTAAGCCGACAAAACCAGAGCAGAGTGCCACTCACATTTCGCAGGACTTTCTTTTCTGGGAATTACTCCAAAGCGCGTTAAGGCTAGCAATTGCAAGGCTTTGGATTGCTTGAACTAAATATTCCGACTTAATAGTTTGGTCGATTCCTTCTCATCTGAAATCTCCCGTCCCGTCCCATCCCGTCCCGTCCCGTCCCGTCCCGTCCCGTCTCGTCTCGTCTCGTCTCGTCTCGTCTCGTCTCGTCTCGTCTCGTCTCGTCTCGTCTCGTCTCGTCTCGTCTCGTCTCGTCTCGTCTCGTCTCGTCTCGTCTCGTCTCGTCTCGTCTCGTCTCGTCTCGTCTCGTCTCGTCTCGTCTCGTCTCGTCTCGTCTCGTCTCGTCCCGTCCCGTCCCGTCCCGTCTCGTCTCGTCTCGTCTCGTCTTGTCTCCTGAGCCTGAAAACTGAAAATGAGGTTGAGTTCTTGCTCCTCCAGTGTGACAAATAGGTTTGATATTGAAAATACATATGGTGCCAGGATCGTATGAGCCGCCTTAGATATAGCTGAGAGCGAACCAGTGTAATAACGACTACATCACACTCACCCTCTTCGTGGAAATTACCGCATCAGGCGTCAGTCGGCTCTAACTCATCACCCGATGGGTGGAGCCGTCCCATCGGTTTTCGATAACAGGAAGCAGTCTGACCCATGAAACATTTCAATGCTCTCTAATCATGCCATTTTCGATTCCCGTGCCAAACGCCCCTGCGGTTACCTGGAATATCTAAATGGCGCTCGTGTTCGATTTAGTACGAAGTTCATTCTCTCCAACAGCACAAGACATTGCGTTGTGCTGAATTGAGAATTCACGCCCAAGAAGCCAAACTGATGCGTTGAACGCCTCACCTGCTATATATGTCTGGGTGGGCGATGATGACGTAGCGGTTGATGGTGATGGCGAGGATGGTAAAGAGAGAGACGGCGATCAGGCCGTACCGCAGCACGGGAAACAGCTCGCACAGAGCCTGGCCATGAACCTGCAGAAACGTAGAAACAGAGTCACATAGAACTTCACTCGAAATAATGAAACCCATTAGATTTCGTACAGCCACCTCAACTTCGTTCTTGCTTGTCAAAAAAAATAATGTAAAAGATTTTTTTCATTCTTAATGCAACAAAACATTATCGTGACGACTAGAGGTGGCAAAAGAGGAAAATTTTGGGAACCAGACTCGAACCAGACCCGGCTGGACATTTCTGGAACCAGTCAGACCCGGTCTTAGTTGGATCGGAACCAGTTGGACCCGTTCCCCAAAAGTCAATTAATACAAACTACTTGTAGGTATCATTAGTTGCATATAGTTATAAAACTGCCTGTTTCCCACTGGGAATACTCACGAGCTATTGTGTGCAAAGAAACATTCACTTCATATTTTGCAATAATGTGTAGTGTGCAATATGTATAGTTTATGGAAGGACCCGGTTGGACCCGTCAGAAAATTTCCAGGAACCGGTCTGGACCCATATGGGTCCAGACTGGTTCTTTGGACCGGGTCCTCGGGTCCACATTAGTTGCCACCTCTAGTGACGACCTTTTACCTGTCGCTAAGGCTGGTATTATATTTTGCTAGGCTGGTTAGTATTTTCACCGCTCTGTGCGGCTGCTATATCCCGTGTCACCTACCCATGCGCGATGAATGAAGAGGGACGCAGAGAGCGGCAGGTTGAAGCAGCAGAGGAGCAGGTCGCTCACGCTCAGGTTGATGATGAAAATAGCCGTGGCGTTGTGTGCCTGCCAGAGACAGAACAAGACGTCACTTGTCAGTTGTGTGCACAACAACTTTCTGCAGGTATATTTGTTTATATATTTGCTTTTGTATTATAGTCTTTTAATGTTAAAAGCGTATTGTACAGGTCTCGCGAGATTAAGCGGTAGGTTTTGCACTTTTACATTTCCGGTTATATCTCAGAAACTAATCGATCTACGATGAAGCCATTTTACAAGATCATGGCCGACTTGTTATTACCCAATAAGTCGATCGCATCTTCGAACACTTAAAAGCTTAAGACGACGAAGATATAGCCTGAAGTACACTAAATTTTCTAGGTGCAAAACCAACCGCTAAAACCCGCGAGACCTGTACATTTGTACTTTGTGCGTACAACAATTTGCTCACACATGGCGATTTATTAGCTAAATTGTATTTCTGAAAACAAATTTTCTTAGTTTAAAATACAAATCGACGGGTGACGCCATGCTAATGATCTCCACTCTTTGACGTGGGTGAGTAGACAAAGAGAAATATCTGCAGTAAAGTAGCGGTTCCATTTCAGCAAATCTCGGTGGGCTGCGGCCGTCCCTGAGCTGTCGCCGGCTGTCCAGGTCTGGACACAATCGCGGCGCGGTGGTGGCAGTACCGGCGCGGCTGGCACTGATCGCTCGCCCCCCCCCCCCCCCCGTAATGGACCGAACTGTGTCGCCGGGCGGGGGCCGGGGTCAGACGGCTGGTGCCGGAGGGTGTACCGGAGGGGGCTGGGCAGAACGCCCCCCCCCCCCAGCACCGACAGGGCGGCTCCCAGTACCGACTGAGCGGCCCAGTACCGTCCGAGCAGCCTTCAATGCCCGGCGAGTCAACCATCAGCCGCCGGCCGATGGGCTACCGGCCAGCTGACAGCTGCAGTCAGAGCGAATTGAATGCCTTAGATGACCGGGACGAGTGGGCCATTTTTTCAGCTGTAACTGTAACTGTCACTGCTGAAGCATCAATGCAGATTTTAGATAGTCGACCCATTCGCGACTACGATAAAAAGCTAGCTTTGCCTTTATTGGCAGTAGTGGCCTATCCGAGATTTCCGTACGAAGCTAGGATGCTACAAATACATCCAGCACAACTTGATAGCAGTGTAGTACAAGTAAAAAGGTATGTTATAATCCAGTCTTAGTTTATTTTTATCTGTCTTTACATAGTCCAATCGTGCTGCCTGCAAATGCTTACCTACCTGTAATGCTATCTTCCCAAAATTATATTATCGCGAATCAGATATCAAGTAACTGGAGGTCGTGCAGGTGTATCATTTTTAACGCAGATCGGTAAACTATAGCCTAGAAGTACAATTTTTGTCATGCAACGAGAATCAACTCAATTTGAAAAACAGACGTAGTCCTTTTCGGGACAGCATATGTTGAGCATACCGTATACTATCTGGCCGTAGACATAAGGACCAAATGCCTGTTAGCGAACCGTCTCACTATCAACCATACTGTTATCGCATTGCCAATTGGCTTTATTGTGCCTTCGGGGGCACGTTTGCTCTCTAATGATTGTAACACGAGAAAGGGCTGTATTGATGCCGGCACTCCACAACTGCTCGTTAGTCATGTTAGCTGGCACTGTAAAACGGGCAGTATTGATCCATATACTATGGACGTATGTGCGTTTTCAGTGCAATACAGCCCCGACATCAGTGACTGAGGCAAAACCAAAATTGTGCCGTTCCACTTTCCAACGAAGCGATCATTTTTACAAAACAGTCAACAGAAGTTCCGAAGTACTTCTATGCCAACAAAGCGTCACCTCTAAGCTCATTTTTCCACAAGTTTCTGGCTTGGTTAGATTCTCCAAAATGAATTCAAGGCGTACAGCGACAGCAAACGCTACCCAAAAAACGTCGGGAACATCCTTCGCATGGGAGGCGTTTGAACGAAAGCGATGTGCTGACTTGGTCTATATATATATGACCACGAAAAAATTGTAGAGGAAATCAAAATCATTGTGCAAATTTCTTTATTAATTCGTAAAAAAACACCTAAAAAGCGACCATAATCCCATCACAACTTCTAGCAACTTCATCTCAAAACAGCATGTCAAGGAAAGCAGCAACATAACATCTCAACAAAAGAGCAAACGAAATCAAATGGAGTTAGCGCACTTGCTGCTGCGAGACGTGCGAGATTCCTACACCTCCTCCTCTCTCATCCAGTAGAGCATGGTTCCCGAGTTCATGGCCTCGCCGTTCAGCCATGGGCTGTGCTTGTAGTAGGTGTGTGTCTTGTGCGACACCAGCGTGCCCCACCACTCCACAGAGACGGACGCGCTGGTAGTGAGGACAGCGTCGTGGGCGGAGTCCGTGCTCAGCCAGGGCATCCGCTTCTCAATGCCGATGTCCTTGTACTCCCACTCGTCGAACTTTCTGACGATGGTGACGTCCGTCTGGGACGGCGACTCGTGGATGAAGCTGTAGTGACGCGGCGCGAGCCAGACGCCGCCCCAGCGCTGGCGGCCCGTCTCCACTTGCGCCTCGATCCGGTAGGCGAACCGAGCGCTGTGGCCTAGGTCTCGGATGGCATCGGCGTGAGCCAGGATCGAGTAGTTGTCGGTGAGCGTGGGTGAGCGCCGACTGCGGCCCAGAGCACTGAGCGCGTCCCAGCCGTCGGCAGAGACAGCCGTCAGCAGCAGCGTCCAGCCGCCGCCGTCGTGGCTGAAGTCGCAGTAGACGGGCACCGGCATCCCGGTGAACCAGTAGACGCCGTCCTGGTGTTTGCCGCCCTGGTCCCGCAGCTGCCGGCAGGAGCGGGCGCAAGCGCGCACCGCCGGCTCATCGTACGGCGCTCCGTCCGCCGGCAGCGCGTCAGGATTGAAGTCACAGACACGCTCCGGCAGCTGGCTGGGCTCGTTCCGTGGTTCTGTGAAACATTCCGGACCGGCCGGTGCAGCTACCGACAGTCCGGCGGCTGCTGCCAACAGGCAGAGACGAGAGAGGAACATGGTGGCGGGTGTCGGGACGACCCACGTCAGAGCAATGGTCTGAGGTCAGGTGCTAGAAAAGGCCGCACCCTGACAGTCTGCTGTCCGACTGATGAGCCGAGGTGGCAGACCGGCCTTATATACACCCAATCGCTGCTGGCAGTGGTCGCATAAATAGATGTGTTGAAATCTTAGGGGTGGCGTCCACATAGAAACAGTCTGGTTTCAATGTTTATGCTCAGTTAGTTTCGCTAAAACGCGTTTACATGGTGGCCGGTCGCCCCTTTTCGGTTGTTTGGATCTGTTGCACTGGACGCCTTCAGTGAGCTGCTAGATGTCCGATGTCGTGCTTTCAGGGAAGTTGCAGCGCCCAAACGCCAGACTCCAAACACAAGATGGCTTATTTGGGCCAAAACAAAAAATGATCAACTGCAGCTTATATAATTTGGAGACACATAATATCATCCTTTGATGTTCATCGCTTCCAGGAGATAAGGATGATCATTGTTTGGCTTTTTTTTTTTGCATTATAGTGAGCAAGCGTTAACATTACTTACCTATTAACATTAAAATAGAGTTTTGGAAGTCCATCGGGCCTATCTTGAGGCACTCGTTGCTATAAAATCCTGTCGTAATGGAGATATTGTGACTGATTTACTTTCCGCGTGATAGTTTTCATGGTAGTCTCCTAGATGTCACTAGTGGTAGGCGCCTGAATGCATACTGTGCCGCACGGCCCTAGCACGTGGGAATATGGTGCGAAGCGATGCAGCATGCTATTTTTTGTTTCAAGCACTAAACAGGGCTGCTTGCGCGTGCCTTAGCAGTCTTGTCGGTAGCAATTCATCTGCTTAGCTGCCTCAGATGTATAATTGGAGAGGGAATTTCAGAAATATACCTAATTAGGTATCCTCTGTGATTGAAACGATGACAAAGTAAGACTATCCAAGTAGACATATGGGGACAGATGTCAACCAGTTACCAACCACCTGTACTGCTGGCTATACAGACGAGTCTCTGACCCTGAGGTCACTGACAGACGTGTGTCTGTTTCGCGACAGGCCGGCCGCTTCCGTGGCGCCCGTCAGGCGCGGCGACAGCCCAGCTGTGGCTGTGACGAGCCAAGCGGCCGTGACGGTCGGACCCGTGCCCGCCCCGCTGTGTGACGGGCGTGACTGTCGTGACGGGCCGCGGTGCAGACAGGCGGGAGCCGCCGCTGTCGGCCCGTCATCAGTCACCGGCCGGAGCCGACCCAATCGCACACTGGCGCCCGTGCCAAGTCGGATGACGTCGGAACAGTGTCTGAGGGACGGAGGGGATGCGGTGGGGTGGGGATGGAGGCGGCGGTGGCAGCCGTGGGGACAGCTGGGCGGCAGCGAAGACGGTATGAGGCGGGGTTGGTAGAGGTGGTGGTGGAGGCGGTAGTGAGAAGTGACGTTGGTTTTTATGGGGGGAAGAATGAGGGATCAGAAAAGAGAGGGTAGGTATGACAGAGGATGGGATAGACAGAGGCCGAGAGGCGAGTCTGTAGGTGTAAAGGCAGGCCGGACTACTTGAGGCGGGAGCGCTTCAGAGGTCATACTGTGAGGCTACTTGAATCAGTCTACCCCCGCAAGAGAACATCTCGCCTCACAATATACCCAGTCCCGGTGGGAGACACGCCGAGGGCGGGCGGCAGTGGGTTCAGGAGGCGCGGCGGGGACAGCGGGCAGCGGCGGGGGCGGGAGCAGCAGTGGGTTCAGCAGGCGCGGCGGGGACAGCGGGCAGCGGCGGGGGTGGGAGCGGGCGACAGTGGGTTTAGGGGGCGCGGCGGGGACAGCGGGCAGCGGCGGTGGGCGGCAGTGGGTTCAGGAGGCGCGGCGGGGACAGCGGGCAGCGGCGGGGGCGGACGCGGCAGTGAGGAACGGTAGGAGGAGACACTGCCCGGTGTAGCGCCGGCCCTGCTGGCACCGGCTACCGGCAGAGACACGAGCCACTCCGACACAGCTGTAATCAATAGACCATCGGCGACTGGCTCTGTCCCATTCACGGCCGCGTCGCTCCGCTCGCGCTGTGATGAATGTAGTACCTCCTCGAGTGGGAAAGGTTCACAAAGGTGGTGATAGGACGGACAAAAGCCGTGGCGTTACCCGGAACCGCGTTAGTCAAAGGCGCGGGTGGTACTGGCCTGTCGTGCAGTGTTAGGGGAGAGTGGGGCTATGCGTTACACTTTTTGGTCTTCTGCACTTAGTGGCCAAGCTATTCAATGAAATTGTACCAAATTTGGTCACATGCTAGCTGAATCAATTTGGAAAGCACATGCAAACTTTCACTTCTTTACGACTAATCACTTTTATGTGAAAGGCAGAAAACCAAAGCAAGATTTTCGGGGTAAGTTGAAAAATTATGGGGCAACTTGATGCACGATATGGGGTAACATGTTACACTTCTTTTTTCGTAGTTTATTCATCATTATAACTGTCATTAGCCGTCCTATCGGAGCTCGTAAGCCTCCCTTATGGATAATACTAAACATTCTTTCCTTTCTTATTGAAAGGCAAGAACAATAAAGCATAAACCATTACTGTACTTCACACGCATGAAAAGGCTCATCAAACATGGCTCAATCTCTTATTTGCCTTTACTGCGACGCCAAGGGCCCCATGCATTGCCATACTGACTGGAGGTTGATTTCCTGCATAAAATTTCCGTCCAATGCCCGTATTCACAATCGAATTCTACCCCTACCCCAGGGTAAAACCCTGAGGTCATTGACCTGATCAATGGAAATTAACACTAAACAGGTCGATGACCTCAGGGTTTTACCCCGGGGTAAGGGTAGAATTCGATTGTGAATACGGCCACAGGTGAAATTAAGCAGTATTGAGCAGTCATCTTTAAACATGCCCCGGCCCTGCGGCGGCCGGCTTTCACAAGACTGAACTCAAATGTTGGTTTACATGAAAAGGCTAGTGCTTTTCACTTGGTAATCTAGCAAAAGAAATCATCGCTCAATTTTGTGAACATACATTCAACATTCTTACACAAATAACCTTGACAAAAATCGACCCAAAGTGTTGACCAGCAAAAAATACTTTTGCTGTCACAACTTACCCCAGTGCGCCTACAGGGCGACATGGCGTTCCACCAGGTCTGAGCCTGCAGTAACATGTAAAATGTGCGTAACCTTTCTGCTAGCGTAAATATTGGCGCCATATCAAGAGTATTTTTAAAGATATTAGCTTTGTAACAACTTACCCCTGTAACAGATAGCTACACTCTCCCTTAAATATACAGACAGGACCAAGTGGTAATGCGTCATACTTCTTTTAAACTGCTTGATACATGGCAGACGGTGACGTCTGCCATGTATTTCGATGAAAAGTTTACGCGTAAGAAGTAAATTAATCCAGACATAAGTGACCCGCATCTTGGTACTGCTGTCCTTTTCTGACAGTCACTCCATAACAACCCGACTATACCTACAAAGCCGACACCTGTTCAATAACTCCATAAATGTGAACGGCCTAGGGCACAGTGAATGGCTGCAAACCAATGTAAGTGTCTTTCATGGTCACGGCTCATCGCTTGCATATATTCATTTCATATGAGCTACTAGCTGGCCCGGCCGTCTGTCACTGCATGGCGTGAGCACGCGGTATGTGGACTATAATAGCGTTCATACCATGTGCGAATCATGCAGGTTAGCATCTGTGACAAAGGCACGAGGATGTCGGTGCCAGGCGGACCTATTTCTGAATGTTCATATTACGTGACCCATGAGCTTAGATCCGGTGCCAGCGTTCTATGTGAGAGATATACAGCTCTACTCTGGGATCTATGAAAAGTGTTCCGCTTTTATAAATACAGGCTATAAGGCAATTGAGCGTTTTTATTGCAGGTATGATAAGCTTCCCAAATTGTATAAGGCTTAAAAAGAAAATGTAAAACTTAACGTGAAATATCGCGCTTGTAAGATTTTTCAGCATTCCTGACTGACAAAACTCGTTTTCCTTTCACTTGTAAATAGCGAAAACCATAAAAATAATTGCAACTGAAATGCATTTATTACCAAAATGTAATTGCTCTGTGAAAATAACCATCTCTACCAAAGATAAGTGTGTGAATATGAATAAAGCGTAGGTAAAACATCCTAAAAATGTGACTACTGGCCACTTGATTTCTCTGCATTTTAAATGCAAATATCTTGTTTTTATATGCAGTTTATTGTGCCTTCTCATTGCGTTGACACGGCTCCCATCACAACAACACGGGCGGTATACATATTTGCGGAACTGCAGTAGATTAGTTCACACGGGGCTATCTGCGGATGTTACTGGGCGTTCTGATGTGATTCGATGCAGACTAATGCTATGGACTGAGATGTAGATGAATGCAAATTTATGTCAATGGCTGCGCAGTAATTTTGGACATAATGAATGGTCGATAACTTTCATGTCAGTCTTAGTTTCACAGTTGAGTTCACTCAATGAAATAATAATGTAGATTTTAGATGTACGTCTAAAATGGTGCTTCTAATAAGATCCGTTGAATACTCCTGCATTCAATTCGGTACATCATGAATATGCCTTCTATGAAACTCATAATCTAGTCGTTTATATTGAGCATATTCATGATCCGGAAGCACGTCTTACAGAGACAATAAACATTCTTGTAGCACACCTTCCAGCACAATCTTGTGAAAACTTTGCAGTGACGTTGTTCCCCATGAGGGTGCCGTGCCTCCTATATCTATATCTATACTACTATTTGAACAGGATCCATCTGTTTGTTTGTTTGTCTGTCCGCCACGCCGTGTAGTGGGTTCAATTTAGCCGGCCTACAGGGCAGACGGTATATCGTAGGGGGTTGAAATTTGCACACCTTATAGGTGACAGAGCGGGTCAGCGCCTTTTCTAGGTTCCGACTCGCTGGGGTGCACGGTTCGCGCGTGGGGCGCGCTGCAGAGGAACGCCAATGAAATTTTGATCGGTTCGTAGATCTTCATTGAGAGCCGGTGTCGACAAACTTTGTGGACTAAA